ACCCGCTCAGCATCTTCAGTAAGAGGCCAAGACATCTGCCTGTCCACGGCCTGCCCCTTCAAGTGACTGAAGGAATATTGGCGTGGAATCGAAGGGATGTACAAACAAGCTCCACCATCAAAAGTCAGCCAGTGCTCCTCTTCAAGAGTCAATATAGCGGGATCCTCGACATGATCCCCGAACAAGAAGCTCGGCTTCTGTAAAGCCTGAGTGGAGGTAGAATCGGCGGTAAAAGAGGCATCTGTGATAAGTTGGCGCAAGCAATGGCGCCCTCCTTCCCGTATTAAGCGGCAAGATTCATCTGAGCGACCTCTATCGAATCGAGGAAGTGGGCTAACAGCCTGCCTAAGGGAAGCCGAAGAGAAGACCCCCCGACTACAGCCGGTGTTGGCGTGAGAAGGAAGGCTACCCGCGGGAAATTCCACTACAATAAAGCACAAGGGTGGAGTCAGAAAATTCATAAGAAGAATGATAAGCTCATTCACAGAATAATTGGAGAGACGATTTTGAGTGTCCTACACCGGAAGAACGGTATGCATCATCACGTGAATAACGTGATAACATACACCGACCTATAAGGTGTAGGACGATACAAAATCGCCCCAATATACCGGAAGACTTGAATTGGCTAAGCAAAACAAGTCTGAAACCTTAACCTCCGCGAGAGAGGTATCAGTTCTTCCTTCATGACCCGCAAAGAGGTCAATCAGGGATGCAAGAAGAAAAATCTGCATAAAGCCTCATCCCCGAAGAACGAGGCCGCGGGAGAAGACGTCGCAGGAACCTCTTCCTCACTAGGCTGTGAATGAGAACGGCTCCTACGGGGTCGAGATCGACGCGGAGACATGAGAAATCTGCGACGAAAAGCAGCAAGTCAGGTACAATCTAAAATATGAATGCACGAAATTTAAAAGGGAAATTAAGAACTTTAATTAAAATCCTACACATAAATAGGATTTCATAATTGAAGTCTAGTTAAACCTACAAATTTCGTGCATGCAAGACAACGATTGTCATCTTTCACGGTAAATTTTGGTGAAATACCCAAAATACCCTTCGCGTTCAAGGCCAAAATTCAGGTCAAGGACACGCCCGGGTTGGGTCATGGTCATCATATCTGATCATACAGAACCCCCCGATACCCCACAATTTTGGTTAATTTTACAAATGAACCCTTTTGTAGAATCAAGCCAATTTTACAAATAAACCCCTTCACAAATTCCAATTTAACGTCCACATACCCTTATCAAAACTTTGGTTATTGGGTTGTGGTCTAAATTTTTGGAATTTCAGCCCTAAATTTCAGCCCTTTTGCAAATAAACCCCTCTACACTTTGTGGGTTGCTTTTTTGCAAATAAACCCCTCAAACAACATTGGTCTTCTTGCATAAAGCACCCCTCAAACTTTCGACCAAGTGGACATGCAATCCAAGACCCAATTTCAGTCCTCTTTTGCACAAAAGCCCCCCAAATTTCCGGCCATAGTGTAATTTTGCACAAAAACCCCCCCAAGTTTCGGCCATAGTGCAATTTTGCATAAAAGCCCCCCAAAAAATTTCGGCCCCATGATAACCTTGCATAAAACCCCCAAATTCTTGTGCCTACACAACCCATCATCAAAAAAACCTATCCTCTAACTCATGAGAATATAAAGCTATGATCTTTCTTGAAAAAGAGGAGAGTTTGGAAGGGGAGCTTACCAAATCAAGAGGCTCTTCTTGAGCTTGAAGATGATGAAACCCTAGCTTGGAGGAAAGGGTATTTTCGGCCAAGGGGGAGCACCAAAAAATCCGAAATTTTAGAAAGGGTTTTGGGAGAGCAACAATGGTGGAAAAATGAAGGGAAGAAGAAGAAGTTTGGGAGGGATTCTCTTTTGAAATCTCTTTTGAAAAGGGGGAAAAACAAAAGGGGAAACGAATTCAAACAAGAAGGAAAACAAAAGAGGGGGGAAACAAAAGGGGAAACAAACAAAAGAAGGAAAAGACAAAGAAAAAGAGAAAAGAGGGGGGGTGTCTCGGCCCCAAAACCGAGACACCCTAGGGTGTCTCGGCCTTGCCAAGGGCGAGACACCCCCGGGTGTTTCGGATTCTGTTTTGTCCCTGTACGCCCATTTTAGACCCGAATACGCCCGCTTTCGTCGGTTATTGGATGTTTTGATGAAAATCAACACCAATCAACGTTTGACGATCTAAAACCCTAAGGGTCAACGCCGGTCAATGCGTAACCCTAGGTCAACGCCAGTCAACGCGTTGCAACCAAAGTCAACGTTCGACGATTTGAAACCCTAATGGTCAACGCCGGCCAACGCGTAACCCTAGGTCAACGACAGTCAACGCGTTGCGATCAAAGTCAACGTTTGACGATCCAAAACCCTAAGGGTCAACGCCGGTCAACGCGTAACCCTAGGTCAACCCCAGTGTCAACGCCGGTCAACGCGTAACCCTAGGTCAACGCCAGTCAATGCGTTGCAACCAAAGTCAACGTTCGGCGATTCGAAACCCTAAGGGTCAACGCCGGTCAACGCGTACCCTAGGTCAACGCCGGTTAACGCGTTGCGACAAAAAGTCAACACACAGTGGTCTGAAACCCTAAGCCAGCACAATGTGGAGGAAGTAGTTCAAAGTCAATTCAATGACACGAGCCAAACTCAATTCATCAGCTGCAGACTCGAGACTCCGACGACGGCCAAGCGATAAACGCAGTGCCGGAAGAACTTCGGCTATTCGTCAAAGCATCGAATAGACCAAAAATCGAAGGAGCCAAGAGTTGAAGCTAACCACAGGTCCTTATGCCGACTAAAGGCTAGACCAATCACATCCAAAGTATTCCAGCCTCTTCTATAAAAGAAACGAGTCCGGAACGCTTTGGAGGGGGTATCTGTAGGCATCGAAAATTGCCAAAGAGCGACGATGAACGTCACCATCCGATCCACAAGAGTCCAATTGACGTCGACGAACGATTGAAGTGAATCGACGAGCTACGTGAGCTGATAGGATTTCGGAACAACGAAGACCCGGACCAATCGGGAACCCAGCGGTGTTCACAAAAAGGACAACGCCCTTCGTGCCTCGACCACTCTACAGATAATCCAACCACCAGAGCGGATCGAACTCTTCGTCAAGCATCCAACGCACCCGGAATCACTCAAATCCGAGTTCGGACGAAGAATCTACAGGGAAGACAACGAAATACACCTAAACGGAGTCTCGGCAAGTCGAAATACCCCGGGGGTGTCTAGGAAAAGCCTAGACACCCCAGGGGTGTCTCGGCCAAGGCCGAGACACCAGGGGGTGTCTAGGCCCCCTAGACCCCCCTACATGCTCCTAAACACTATAAATAGCCCACTTGGGCCTTGCTTTTGAGAGGAGGATTTTTAGAGAGCCTTGGCGAAGCCCTGCTGCAGCAAAGAGTGGTCGAGCGCTTCAACCGAGGAGGAGAGGTCTACATCAGTCTTCATCACCCATTCCCCGTCTGATCCTTAGTATTAGCCCTTGGCGTTAATACTAAGAAGAGCTAATATCTCGCTTAGCCGAGATAGACGCTTCAAAGCTTCTAGATCTCACGCGGATCGACGAAGCTCTGTCCGATATTTCTGGATCAGAAGTTTCTAGATCTCACGCGGATCGACGAAGCTCTGTCCGATTCTTTCGGAACAGATCTGAGTGCCAGGTGGTCCACGGATATTGACGTCCCCGTCACAGGCCAAAGACCCACGCAAAGCGAGACCGCACCAAAACGGGATCTCGTGTTTATTTTCGAAAAGTTGTAATCTTTGTTTTGTTGCACAAGGAGGTCTTATAAAAAGACTGACTTTTTATTGTTGTAACGCTTGAAGTTGTAACAGATTCAAAAGCAATGAAAACAGCAACTTTCCCCGAAAACAAACAGCCGTCGTTGTCGTCTCGCCCCCGTCCACTCGTCGACCATGTTCTCTGGTCACCCACATCGCCAGTTTACACGTTGACCCATCACCCTCGTCGTCGCTCAGATTCGTCGCCGTTGTCGTCGCTCAGTTCTTCGCCGCGTCGTCATCCAGTTCGACGTCGCCGCACCACCTCCAGAGGTCCCTCACGTCGAGCCTGTTCAGGCCGACGAAGGTTTCGTTTTCTCTCTATTTTTTTGTTAATCTCATTTTATTAGTTAATTGCATGAGTATTCCATCTCTAAACTCTTATCATATATTCACTGCTTAGATTATATTTGTGAGTTGAGAGTAATTGAGCATGTGACTGTTAAAATTTGATATTGATTGTAGAACTTGTGCATGATAATGAATATTACAGTTAAAATTGATTGAGATTGGAATTATCATAATTATTGATGCAATGTCACATTAGTTGTTTTTTAATTTAATTTCCCGCCAAAGATCATGGAATTTGGTGAAACGATGCATTATTTGATTTAAATCACTGATTCTGATAGACCCCCTTTCCCGTTTCACATCAGGATTGCTTCAGAAGTGTCATCGAGATTTTTTTGGTTGTGTAAAGATTCTAGTCAGATGTCGGTACTGAATGGCCACAACTCAAAATGCATGCGATATTGGTCTTGGTCCTCAAAGTCTAGAAGCCTCCAGCCCCTAATCTATCTTGGGCAACTCAAAAGGAATGTCTATAGGCGCTATACATCCAACTATTTCCCACAACAGAATCAGGCAGACTGCTAGAAACCCACTTCACCAATAAACTAAACAATTTATGCATGTCCTTGTTCTTTTGTCTTAGAATTTGTTCGGTTATAAATATAACTTTAGGAGCTGGTTGATGTGATTTGAGATCTTGAATCTTACACACAAAAAATACTCTTGTTGTTCTATGTATTACTTTGATCTGCTTTGTATGTATTTCTGGTTCAAGCTAGGCTGATGAAGGTGCTGATTGTTGTTATTCTTTGTTTCAATATAGCCACTATGGGAATTATCTCGCCCTCTTTATGTACTTTTTGCCTGTGAAAATGGTTACTAATTTCATGCATTTTCTTTCTTGTTACCTTGGTGTTAGAGGAAGAAAGACGTCGTGATGTATATTCACCTCAGTTTGGGGAGTCTGTGATAGCAGGTAAATTTTCTTTAAAGAAAGTTGATTTCTTCAGTCATTTACTATATGCTAACCTATCTATGGTCATCTTTTCATTTGATAGAAGATAATGTGGGTGCTTTAGAAGAGATTCAAAACTCTAATGGGGATCTTAGAGCTAGCAAAATTATAGCTCTTAAAGAGTTTCTCTCTCCAGAAAATGGCCTTGAGCATGGAAAGCACAAGCAAGTTTCTGTCGTTGACGTATTGTGTGCGCTATGCAATGAACTGCTATTTCACCCTTCCGTGCTTAATTGTGGACATGGTTAGAAAACTTACAAAGAAATTATACGAGCTTTCTGCATTACTGTTGTGTTGATATTTACTATCTTTCTTTCTATACAGTATTTTGTGATGGCTGTCTGCCTGGCCTAGCCAATGGGCCACTTACATGCCCAGTTTGTCAGAGCATGCATCCTGGAGAGTTCCCAAATATTTGTTTGGATTTGGATCATTTCTTGGAAGAGCAGTTCCCAACAGAGTATGCAATGAGGAAGGAGAAAGCACAACTTAAAATAGCAGAACGCCGACATGGAGATTCATCATCCGGTAAGCCCCCTTTTGCTTCTGTATAAGTTCTTGATCCTTCATAAAGCTTCAGAATTCAATCATAGCCAACTTAGGAGTTTTAGTTTTATCTGATTTTGTTTTCGTTGAAGTCAATAAGGTCTCTGGTTAGATATTCTTCTATTTGCAGATTTTCACCGTACAGTCTGCAATGTGCTGGTTACGTTTATTTTTATTGGGTGAATCTCAGAATCCCCCAAAACTTTGGGAAGTTTCCTACAAAGCCCCACTGAACTTTGTTTTTCCCACTTAACCCCCATAAATTTTCCCACAAAATTCTTAAAACTCCAAAAGGTCTTGAAAACTTGTTAGTGGTAGGCATACTATATTATATTTAAAACTTAGACTAGCAACAGTAGGGGAATTTTGCATGCTTTGTTGAATTTAGGCATGCAGAAACATATAGGGATAAACATATAACTTTGCCTGACGCACACAATTGTGGGAGCCATATACATACACAAAGGTTAATGGTTTAGACCTAAAGCTTCCTATTGTTTCTTTGTTAAATGTAACACTTGTGTACCTGCGTTAATCTACCTGAGAAAATATGGCATGTTTGAGAGAAATCTGAAACCATATTAATTTTGGATGGTGTACTAATCATACTTTAATTTAAAGGAAGCCTTCCTTTTGGTCATGTGAGCTTCAGTTTAGAATTCCGAAAATGTCATCACATCTGGAAAAACTACAGAAATGCTCTCATGCTAGGAAGAAGCAACTAGAATACCCTCACAATTGGAAATTCTCTCACTTGGAAAAAAAAAATCAGTGGAAATACCCTTGCACTTCAAAAATTCGACAGAAGCGCCGTCACAATTGGGGGAAACATCCATTTCCTTGACAATCTAATTACACACTGCTCTCCCACATTCCCCGCCATGCATGCAATCCAGAATACAAGTATATTGTTACTAGACCTAACCTGAATAGCCTTAGCATAACTCTGACAGTGTCACCTGGTGAATTATCATCTTCTTGTAATGTTCAAATAGTTTTGAGCTGACTCACTTGTGGTTCTACTACTGATATCAGACTCATCATCTATTTTTAAAGAAAATTTAACATGTGATTAACTCCATCCAATTTTCTGTTGCAGGTTCTTTGCGAGATGGGAAAAAAGCTGATTCACGCTTTTCGAAAGATGATAATTTACTTCTAAAGGAAGACTTGCAGAATGTTCACGTTGGTGTTGGATGTGATTCATGTGGGGTAAGGTTTTCCATCCCAATCACATCATCATAGAGGAATGGTTAAGTTCGTGCATGCAGAATTTATATCCCGAAGCTTTTCATATCTTTCTATGATTGGTACCCTTGCACGTTGATTAGTAAGCGGTGAATTAAAAGAAACCACTATGAACATATATATATCCATTGACTTTTATAAGGTTGTAGCAGACCTATTTTTAAGTCCAGCGCTAACATTAATTTGTTGTGAGTGCTTGACTGGGGGGCTTATATAGGAAACGTTTTATCCTATTTCTTCTTTTACATTCTTGAAAATCTCATGTTTGATGGTCTTGCTGTTTTCTCTCTGAATTCCAGTATGGCATTTCATTAATGTGTCCTGTGTGCTACCTTTTGAAGTCCATCCACTCGTTTAGGGGCTTCAGGTGTTGCCAATGTTCTGCTATTATTAAGAAAAGAAAATCATCCAAACATGTAGGTAATGACTTTAATGACAGCATCTTAGGTGATCCTTTTGCATCTTGACTACATTGTCAACAGGAGCGTGCAATCGTGCACCTTGATAAATTTTCGAATCAACTCCCTTGAAATGATTGAGATTTTTGCCTTCTTTTCAACTTATTCTCTTATGAACTATGCCTTAAATCTTTTAGGCTCTGAGGGTTGAAGATGTTGATCTTTCCTCTCAAGTAAACTCTGGAATTAAAGTTGACAATTATTCTACCTGTGCAGATGTATCCTATTATCGGAAAGAGATACAAGTGTAAAGATTGCAAAGAGAAGATAGGTTTTGATCTATGTGAAACATGCTACAACAGTAGTTCAAAACTTCCTGGCAGATTCAATCAGCATCATACACCCGACCACGAGTTCAAACTTGACAAATCTCAGATGCTATGTACAATATTGTTCAGGTCCTTTTTAGATGATTCTCAGCAAGATAATATTCCTGTGGTTTATCTTCCTGATAATATTCCGGATGACGATGATGATGATCTCGATAGAAACAACGCTGCTGATAGTAACAATCCCACAGAATAATTTGAAGGTAAATATGCCATTTATGAGTTGCATAGTCCCAGGTCAGAATAATTGGCACAGTGTGTAAAGCTCAACCCCCCTTGATGTAAGGATGTTTTTTTTGTTGTCCATCTTGCATTTGTTTGTTTTTTTTTTGGCAAAATGCAAATCATACTTGATCCTTTCTGCCCACATTTTAATTATGTACAGTAACCCTGTTCTCTTGCTGGCCGTTTATCTTGATAAACAAATCTACATGAATTGCTTGATGTGTTAGGCATGTATGGACATTTTTATGTTAAAGATAGGTTTGACATGAAAAGTCTAGTTATTTTTTATAGTTGATAGATAAGTGACTTAGTTTACTTTTTGATGGGCAGTTGGTGATGATGGGGTCTTTCTTAGTATTTGATAATCAGCGCCATTAATACTCAATAGATGAAACCTAACGCCATGCGTTTCAAGCTGGCAGAGCTGAGCAAAACATACCCACATCTCTGCTTCTTTTTTTTTTCCCCTTTCTGTCGGAAGCGAAACTGTTCACCCTGTGAAATTCTGTTTAATTCTCCTAGCAGCACATTCCCATTATTTTTATCACCACACGGGCAACTAGAAGCCAATACCTTGGATGTCACTGCCGCAGGAGATGGCAGCGTGCGGTCGAGAATCCAAAAACACGATGAAATTGTTACTGGCATCTGTGTGAAGAATCTCTTGTGAGCAAGTGAATCCAAAAACATGATGAAATTGTTGTTGTTGTTGGATATTTTGCTTATGGAAAAGGCAATTTTGCCTTTGTGAATAGTCCTGCATCGGAAAATGGAAAGAAGTCCAAGAAGTTTATGTTGGTTACATCATATTGGGCTTTGAGCAAGTGTTTTGGGCATTGTATTATTTGGGCTATTACTATCACGCACGCACGCCGCGACGCCCGCCCTGCACATGCACACATTTTTGTTTCTTAGAATCTTTTATTTTTACCGTTTTCTTCCGTGTGACCCGTTCGTAACGGATGCGGAGTTGGCGCGGGGAGTTACGCGGATCCTGCATAACAGATGCGGAATCGAAGCAACGGTTATTCGCCTCCGGCCCCTATATAAACCAGCGTTCTCCTCCTCGGAAGACACTGAAAAGAAACGATTCCTCCTCCTTCCTCAAAGCTTCTTTTACAAAGTTTTTTTCTGTTACCGTGTTCATTAATTTTCCGGGCAACCATCTTCGTCTGAGCAGAAGCTCTGCTACTCACGCCCGAGTACAGAGGTCGGCCGTTTTCCGGGGGTTTTTATTGCTAGGGGGAGAGGATCGACCGCGCCAGGACGATAGACGGGTCCTCTATCTTATAGGGCAGTGATATCACGACTGCACCCATTCAGGCCTGGTGTTCTAACCTTTTAATTTCAGATTTATACTAATTATTTCTTTTTTGACAGCAGTTGTGGCGTTTGAACTATCAAAATCAAGCCCCACGCACCCAAATGAACCAACTTGAACCCCCATCATGAACAAGGCTCGCTTCATTTTCTGCCCCCCTCAAATCATGGGCGGTCTGCTCCCATACCTTTTACATGAAAACTTTTGCGCTAACTCGCAAAACCTTCGTTTTCTTGAGTTCTTGATAACGACTCGCCAATCTCACGCCTACAAAGCTTTGTTTAAGTTAAGATGAGAACTCGTTGGAAGATGTCGATTTGTGTGGGGGTTCTTCTTACTGTTTTCTCTAGAATCTATCGGAGAGCGATGTACTAATGTGGTTGGTAATTGTGAAAGTTTTTTATTTTTATTTTTATGATGTCACATTTTATCGTTTGGTTGGCTCGTCGAACTAGGTAGGTAACTTATTTATGGTCACTGTTTTTCGCTATTGAATGAAAGGCACGTGAGATGTTGAACTACAGCTGCACCTCTTTGGATTCTATTGTTTTTGATCTTATCTTTTTTTTTTAACGTAGGAGGATTATGGACAACGTATTAAGTTCAACACTGTATACAGGTTATTTATATGATCTATGATGTGTGAACTTACGTTCCCATCGTTTTAAATTAGAAAATTCTGTCATGACAATTTATTGGAATGCCGCATTAGTTTGAGTTCATGACTCCAAAAGTTGTCACCGATCCTCTGATATTTTATATAATTTTCTCCCTGATTAAGCATTCTTTTATAGATTGAGACTTGGATTATTAGCGAAGGAGGCTTAGGCCTCGTTTTGTACACGGGAATGTGGTGGAATGGAATAGTCATTCTCACTTCTTATTCCTTCCTACCAAACACACCATCTTTTTTGAAGTTGGAATGTCCATTCTCACGTCTCATCAATTCCCACTTTTATGTGGGAATGAGCATTCCCAATGAAATTGTAGGGAATGAGCATTCCCACTTAAATAGAAATCAATAAAATATACAATTTTAAAATACGTCAATTCCCACTTCATTTTATAAATTACACCCAAACGTGAGAATGAGAATGACTATTTCATTCTCACGTTAATTCCATTTCATTCCTTCTCCCATTCCATTCTCATTAGAGTCCATTTCCACGTACCAAACGAGGCGTAACAGGTTGTACGTTTATTTTCTCGGAATCAAAACCAATTTGAAAAGATTTTCAACACGACAACTCTAGTTGGTTTCCACCTTGGAACTTCTATAGAGCATACTTCCTGATAAAGCAATTTTTAAGGATTAGTGTGAACCTCTGAATGAGGATATTATTATACCATCATTGTTCCTCTCAAATATTTTATAGCTTAATGGAAAAAGTTAGTGCTCTAATTGAAATAGCACCGGAGAAATTTGTAGTGGGTGGGCCATGGTGTTTGTCATCCTATCCTCTCCGATTTCATACAAAGGTCCAAAAAGGTGAGAGACGATATGAAAATAATAATTGAAGCTCTACCGCTGAAGTGAGTCAAATCCAACATCATGGGTTTTCTTTTTTGATCCGTGAAATTTTCTTAAAAGTTGAAAGAAAAAAAAAGATAACACCACATGAGCTCATGGATAGAATATTGTTAGTTGATTCTAGAATACTTATTATTATTATTATTATTATTATTTTACCAATATAAGGATTTGCTTTGTGAAGTAGAATTAAAGGGCACATTGTGAGAATGATATTGGTGTGGGCACTTTTGGAGGAGAATATAAGAAAGGGGCTTTTTAATACTTTAGAAGGTGGCATTTCGGCCAAGTTAAAAAAATTGTTCAAAAGTTGAACAAAAATTTCCATTTGCCAAGTTGTGATGTCTGGGCCTGGCTATTTCACAAAGTTGGGTTGGGCCCAAACTTGATTTGTAACCGAGCCTGCTAACAGGGTTTCGACAAACATGGATCTCACGTGTCATGGTTGAAGTGTTGCGAGAGCAGTGGGGATAGAACAGTGCTCTGAGTTGAGACAGATTGGATTAATTATATTTGAATCGTGGTTCTAAATACATTTAACTATTTATAAATCTAACTTCATTTTCTGTTATGAGACTGTGATCCTAACATTGCATTTTTATTAAGGGCTGTTTGGTTGGTTGGTTTCCTAAAAATCAAGAAAAGGAAAATGGTACATCAAAATCGATAAAATATTATTATCATCCATTTCCATCCCTAAAACTCATCATAACAGCATCCAATAAAATATTATTTTCATCCCCACAACTCATCTCATAACACAAGAAATTGGTCACATCATCCAACCCATCTCATCCCCATCACATCTCATCTTTAAAAATCACTCACATCATCCAATAATATGGTGACAACTCATCTCATCTCATTAACATTTTTTTTCCACTTATTTCCTCCAAAAACGCTAGGAAATTGATTTTCTTAAGTGTGGGTCACATCATCCAATAATATAACGACAACTCATCTCATCTCATCTATTTTCTTATTTTTATAAATGAACCAAATACAAGAAAAGAACCTATTTACAGGAAATATGTTTTTTTATAATTTATTAAAAAACACTCACGCCATCCAATAATAATGTGACAACTCATCTCCCATTCTTTGATTTCCTTCTTTTTTTAGCCAACCAAACAATCTCAAAACAATTTTTCTTAGAAATAAGTTTCATATTCTTTGATTTCCCTCTTTTTTTAGGCAAACAAACAGCCGCTAAACGGAACGTAGATCTAAATTGATGGGTGCGAGGCATTCTCAACAGAAAGATAGATATTTTCGCGTTGCGTATCCCTTTTCGCGAAATATTCGGGTACTTTTATTTGTGAATTTTTAGAAGTTATTTCTAAGCTACAATTTTAATTTGCTCTGTGACCCGAGATGTCATACATCGTGACTACCTATTTCCCTAAAAAAAATGAAGAAAAGGAAGAAAACCACAATTTAACGCGGAGCTCGTTTTCAAAGGAAATGTGAAGAAGAAAAAAATCTAAGGTGGAGGGGATTTCCGCGGCCGGAGGGAGGAGGGGAAGAAGCGAACCAAAGCTGAGAAAAGAAACCCGCGGAACGGGTTTTGTTGACGTGGGGAGGGAGGAGGGGAAGAAGCGAACCAAAGCTGAGAAAAGAAACCCGCGGAACGGGTTTTGTTGACGTGGAGGGGCTGTCAGGAGGGAAGCGAACCAAAGCTGAGAAAAGAAACCCGCGGAACGGGTTTTGTTGACGTGGAGGGGCTGTCAGGAGGAGAAATGGTTTTCCGCGGCTTACAAAAGCGAACCAAACAGTCCCTAATACTAGAAAATCCCCTATTGGTTGCCTAATGCGTAAATATATAATTATTTAACCTCTGCTGCTTTGCTCTGCATACGTGCACTTTTGAGATCTCTTATCTTATGTTATCCTTTCTTGGATCCATAATTGCGAGCAACATCAACGTTTGACGATTATATCAACACGTTGTCCTTCACCCATCACAAGATGTCATGTCAAAATGAATCCAAGGTAGTATTCAAAAGCGTTAATTAGTGGCTGCTTGGACTCCTGATGCTTTCTTTAATTGAAAACCAGTTGACAGAATTAATGGGTATTAATGCACCAAGTTTCCTTCTGGACGCCTATCTAATTTCACCATTATCAACCGTAAAAAGTGGCGACTTCGGGGTTAACGATAGATGTCTCTTTCAGTTGGGAGAAAGGCATACATCCGGGATAGGCGATGACATTAAATGTGCATCAAAAAGACGTCAATCGTTACATTCTTCTTATATGAATTTTGATGTCTAATAATGTAACGGTTGACATTTATTTGGTCTGCATTTAATGTCATGCACTCTTGAGCATTTGATATTTGAACAAATTTTCAAAACAAACCCTTTTTT